TCTCTCTCTCTCTCTCTCTCTCTCTCTCTCTCTCTCTCTCTCTCTCTCTCTACCTTTCAGGCCTCTTCTCGTTTCCCTCTTTTTCCCGTCTCCCACTTTACGTTTCCCCGTCCTCGCATTTTCTCGGCATTAATGCAGGTGCCCGGCACTTTTGGTGCCACGATAATCACGAGATAATTTTGTCGCATACCGGCGGTCGCCCGGAGTGGAAGCTTCTCCCTTCTTTTGCTTTTTTCCTCCTCTTCCCACAAGTGGGGTGATCCATTTCCTCATTAAATTTTGGAAACGTGATTCTTCGTCGCTAGTCTACTCAAGTACCACGCATCGACTCGGCCGAATTTCTCCCCCCCGTAAAAGTTATTAATTAAAAAAGGCACACTGCGTGAGCCGATTTTGAACATTTTTGCTGTAGGGAAAGTAATGTCGTCGAGGAAAGAACGGGATGTAAATTTCAAATAGAAAGTTTCAAGGGATAAATTACCACTAAATACTCGCTAAATTTTCGAATGGCATTAGTATGTCGTTTGGAAATATAAGGACGGGAGGTAAACGAGAAATATGGGAGAGGCTATCGGAAAAAGGTTGTGACAACATGGTGCTGCAATAAATCCAGACACAGTCATCGTTTATAACGAGTGTGTGTCCGGCGAACATTGCGCTTTTGCGATTATTCGTTCGCGGCAGTAAATACGTTACACGGAAATTTATGACTCGACACGCTGCCGTCTCACGCGCGCGATTATAACGTCTTCGTCCAGTTTGGGAATGATTTAAATTCATACATTCGATACATGGTGGACACAGACGTAGTGCGTCGTTAACACTTATCGGCTTGCGGCTGGCGCGTGAAATAAGAAAATAAGAGCGAAAATTGCTATTACACGGAAAGAAAATGTCGTTGCCGTAGCTACACCCTCAGAAAGGATTTCTGTTACTCGGACAAACAATATTCTTGACGCACTTATATTTCTCACAACTTCATTTCCCTATCTAAAAAAGGCATTGCGAGTTCATTGTTGTCGCTTTTCCGCGATACCGATTGGCT